TGTGTGTGTGTGTGTGTGTGTGTGTGTGTGTGTGTGTGTGTCTCAGACGGTGTGGAGCTGCTGATAATCCATCGGCTGGTGATGCACCCGAGGAGGACAGATGGTTCTGTGCTGCTGGACCAGTAAGCTCAGTTTTAACAAACAGGAAGCATCAGGATTTGGTCGGCGTGCGTCTTTGCCTCCTCCCATTTAGGGATTCTCCATAAAGAGCTTTGATGTCTTCTCTGCATCACTACAGAGTCTAATCGCTCGTACCAGCTGTCAGCGTGTCGGCCTCCTCCTCCTGCACCACTTAACCTCACATCCTCTGCAGGCGGCCATAATGGACTCTCACAGCATCCAGACTGAAACATGATGAACACATCAGCTGCTCAGACTGAGCTAATAAGTTTTGTTYTTTACTGGCTGAGCTGAGAGGTTTCATGTCACTTGCAGCTGATTTATTGTTGAAGAAGCTTGTGTGTGTTTTGTTCAATTGTTTCCTTTTTTTGCTGTGTTTTAGTTTTTTTTTTAAATCTGACATGTTAAAGCTTCACCAAATCTGAACAATAATGTTCCCTCTTTTACCTTTATATTTCACAAACACACCCAAATAAATAAATTTGGTTAATTCAGGTTTACTGTGGGAAACCTCAAGTGAGTTTTTTAGGGTTGAAATGGTGCAAAAAAATGGAAAGAGTTTTTCCAACATCACAGGAAGTGTTAAAACTACATAATGCTTTAAAAAAGAAAATATATATTTTCATAGTTTGACAACACTGTAGGTGATAAAATGAGATGTTTTGAGATGTGTTAGCACTCAAAGTGTTGAGGACGACTCTCAGCTCACCACAGCAAATTTTAGCGTAATATCTGTAAAAACGGACTGAGTGACATTTGATTTATAATATATATACATAATCAGATGATTATTTCCATTTAAGAGTGAATTTTCATCATTTAATTTCAGTAAATTTTCTCAGGACTTCAGCTGAACTGTGACCCAAATGTTTTTTAAGAAAAAGAGACAAAAAGAGCTAACTTTTCACGCAAAAGAGATGTGGTTTCAACATATTTATTTATTTATTTATTTATTTATTTATTTATTTATTTATTTATTTATTTATTTATTTATTTATTTATGAACAACCTGACAGGAAAGTTTGGAATTTGAGTTCCAGTAGCTCCTTAAATTCAGTTTATGCCTTATTCTGTCTGATGCAGGTAAGATACTGACTGCCTTTAAATATTCCACACAATCTCACTTCGGCCTCTTTTGTTCAGCTTGTGGTCGACACGGCAACACTTTGACGATGTGACGTGTCACAAGTTTCTCACTGATGTGTGTTTGAATTTACAGAATGGACATAAACCGATCAGAGTTTTGTTTTCTGAGAGTTTAAATGAGTGTAAATCGGTTCTAAAGATAGAAAAGATTAAGAGATAAAAAAAGAAACTAACCTGTAAGTTAGCACAAAATGAACACATTTTATTTTATACTCATCCTGCTGTCATTTCCTCCTGCTTCTAAAAAGCAAAAATGTAGTAAATCATTTCTCATAAAGTAAAATGCACAAGAATTTAAAATATTCAAATTCAACATTAAAACAAATTCGATGTGCRTTTGAACACATTTACTGTGATTATGTCAATGTAACTGATTACTTGCAGCTCTAAAAGCAAAACATGAACAGAGATAAAATGTTGGTAAAGCAACAATAATACAGACCGGTAATTACCAGGTAAATACAAAATACCTACCAGGTGTGTACTTGTTAGTTCCTGAATACTTATGATACTTAACTGCCCGGGCTGTATTATGAAGTGACAGTGACTGTGTACTTATGAATATCATAATACTGGATATTACACACTCCCACAACCACAGGAGTGGAACAAGAATCTTTTCATAAACAAAATCAATAATTACCGTGTTGTCGGGCCCTTTAAAATTCTTGATGCACCTCTGTGGAACTGGGACATTTTTCTTTCCTCCAATCAAGAGGAAAGAAAAGTGATGCAAATTCTGAGTGTTTAATGAGAACGGAGGGCGAAAACTCAGAACATAAAAAGCATTTTATTGAAGCATCGGTTGACACCTGAACAAAATCCCAACTTTACACAACTTTCTGGTTCTTTTTATGCTTTTTCCATACATCACAAACCCTGTCCTTCCACTCCCAGTTTGTATAGAGGCTCGTAAGAATTCCCACTCCACGACTTTTTTGTTCATCGTCCTTCTGGAACAACATTCTCAACACCTGTTCCACATTAAACAAGCTTTTCTCAGTACTAACACATATTTTTAAACTTTACTTCCACAGTTTTAGGAAGATAATTTCTGTCACGGTTTGTTATTTTAACAGAATAAAGAATAAAAACACAAATCATAAAATGCCCTCCTCTGCAGGTTTCGATGGCAGACAGGGACATCATGAAGACAAACAATCAAATAATCAGGTCAGAGCGGCTGCAGCAGAAGTTCACGTCAACACCTGAAGTGTGACTGAGGCTGAGTTCAACATCACTGATTTATTGATCAACACGGCGCCTAATGGGCTGTGAATGGATTCATGTGCTTCAGCCCAATAATCAAAGTCTCCTTTGGTTCATACCTTCAGTGTCTGCGGTCTAGAGTTACAAACGGGTCCTGATCGGCTAACTGTGGCTAAGAAAACTCAGGGGAGCTCATACATCTGCAGAGGATGAGAGGAGGACTGTTGTCCTAAGCTGCAGACTCCCTGGACCGGTGTCTCTTCTCGTGGTGTTCTGAGACTGCAAGAAACGTTCAGGGAGGGACCTTTAACCTCTCACTGCTCCGCCTGCAGCCACTCACACTCAGCCAGCCTCCTCCCAAACCTGCAGCTATTTTGAACCCCTCAGACCAGTCCTGCAGAACCTCAGGGATCGTTTGGACACGACTGGACACGGTCTCTCCTGCTGCACCGGTGGTTCAAAGCTCTCAGTCAGTTGTTGGCAAGTCTAGAACCACTGGATCCTTCCAGCCCACCAGAGTGAGTTCTACCATTGCCAAACACTGTGGGAGAGCACGCCAGCCGACGCCAACCTGATCCGAGGACCGACCGGAGGTTCGGGTTACATCTCGGAGACGGCGCCCCATCCTCCAAAGCAGCGTGTGACATCTGAGGGTGGGGGGGACGGCTTTATTAATGAGGTCCTCCCTTCCTGCAGGCCTGCTCTGGATGTCMTGATGTTCAGCAGCAGACACACACAGCTGAGCGTCTCTCTTGTCCCATGTTGGCACTACACATGATTGCTCAATGAGGAAACAAAGCAAAAATGTGCTAGTGCCAAAATAAGCTAAGAGAGCTGGCCTGGTTTGGTTGCTGGTCACACACGGTGGTTCTGTCTCTACTCTGTTTATGGCCCTATGGTAATTCACTGATAATGTGCTGCGACAGTGAATTCTACCAGTGCCATACACAGAACAGGAGGAAATGAGGGGAAAAAACCCAAACAGGACCGTCTAAAACGACCTCTTTTCAGGTTTTAGGAGTTCCTGTGCTTGAGAGGCCTCTACGGGATTATGCAAAGTGGGAATGATGGTGTCCTTTCTTCATCTCCACCTCTCAGGAATAAATCCACCTGTGCCATCTGCTGCTGCAAAGGCCTCCCTTTAGCCCACATTCTTTATTTTCACCGGTATCAGCGTCAGCTCCGAGYGGCTGCCGCTGGGACGGTTCTGGCCTAACCCAGAACCGTCCTGAACACCGTGAAGGAGCAGAGCCGCTCAGATTGATTCGGGCTGCAGGGAATGATGTGCTAAGTGATTTTTGAGATGCAACCAAATGGGTCCCAAAGCAGGGCTCGTCTTCCCGTTTCCGGGAAAGATCAATAGAGTAAAAAGCCTATGTGTGTGTGTGTGTGTGTGTGTGTGTGTGTGTGTGTGTGTGTGTGTG